AGCCCACAAATGTATCTAGCCACAGAATCCTTGTTTCACAGACTATCCGGCTCCAGGAACACGTTTTGGGAAACACTCCTCTAAATCATAGAAAGGGCATCGACAGAGGCTCAAAACATTAGTATTTTACAAGACATGCAAAATGTTAAAATTTAAAATGTATTATTTTTCAACTTAATATCAGTTTCTTATTTTTTTAATGTACAGCTACACTAAATAATCTGACAAAAAAGCATGCTTGCTTTCAACTTTCCTCCAAGATTGAGAATAGGGTGCCCCCTTCACCACTTCCATCAGGTACTGCACTGGAGGTCAGTGAAGTCAGTCAATTCAAAACAAAAGCTGAGAGCTGAGAGGTAAAGTGTCACTATTCACAGAAGACATGACTGGATGCTGGGACAATCCAACGAGAATCTACACAGAAAGCGTTACAACTAATAACTAATTTAGGCAAGGTAACGGGACACAAGGTCAACATACAAAAATCACTGTATTTCTATATACTAGCAACAGACAAATAGAAAGTGAAATTTAAAGCAGATATTGTTTACATTAACATCAAAACACCAAATACCCAGGAATAAATATAGCAAAAAAATGAGAGATGCCTACACTGAATCCAGCTGAAAAGTACTGAGAGATATTAAAGAAGATCTAAATGGCAGAGAGATGGACCATTTTCATGGATTAAAAGATTCAACATTGTTAAGATATCAGTTCTCTCCCAAAATGATGTGTAGATTCTAAAATGTAACCTCTGGTTTGTTCAGATCCACGTCACCTGCAAAATTTTCAATATTTATCATCCAGATCAAGAAAACACTTCCTCATAACCACCAACCCCTGATGCTCAGTTAATTTTAAATCATTTGCTTATGTGCTGTCCTCAAGAGACACTGAGAACAGCACACTGCATACAAAAGCCCTTCCTTAGGATTTTTTTTTTTTTTTAAAAATGACCGGTAAGGGGATCTCAACCCTTGGCTTGGTGTTGTCAGCACCGCGCTCAGGCAGTGAGCAAACCGGCCATCCCTAAATAGGATCCGAACCCGTGGCCTTGGTGTTATCAGCACCGCACTCTACCAAGTGAGCCACGGGCCGGCCTTCCTTCCTTAGGATTTTTTTTTTTTTTAAAAATGACCGGTAAGGGGATCTCAACCCTTGGCTTGGTGTTGTCAGCACCGCGCTCAGGCAGTGAGCAAACCGGCCATCCCTAAATAGGATCCGAACCCGTGGCCTTGGTGTTATCAGCACCGCACTCTACCAAGTGAGCCACGGGCCGGCCTTCCTTCCTTAGGATTTTTTTTTTTTTTAAAAATGACCGGTAAGGGGATCTCAACCCTTGGCTTGGTGTTGTCAGCACCGCGCTCAGGCAGTGAGCAAACCGGCCATCCCTAAATAGGATCCGAACCCGTGGCCTTGGTGTTATCAGCACCGCACTCTACCAAGTGAGCCACGGGCCGGCCTTCCTTCCTTAGGATTTTTAAAATCACCTCTCAATATGTCTTCATCTTTAAACCTGCTCTAACAAGTGTTGTTTTCCAGATCAATCTCTTATTAACTACACTCTAGACATAAAATTGTGCCATTCTTGTTTAACTGTGGACATACAGATCTCAATTTTAGTCACTGACTGATATGTATGCTTCTGTTTATTATATATCAGTGGTTGTTTCCCTGGCTGAACACTAATGCATCACATGGGGAGCTTTAAAAAACTATATTGATGCCTTGGCTCACCCCAGACCAAAGGCCTCAGAATCCCTGGGGGTTGGGCCAGACATTAGTAATTTTTACAAGCTCCTGGCTCAAATAATGTGAAGCCAAGGTTGAGACCTGTGTTATAGATGGCCAGAGAGAGAGGCACACAGACAGATGGACAAACTTTTTTTTTAAAGCCATCAACTTACTTCCTTCTGGATTTGGTGCAGAAAGAATGATGCTGTGGTTTTTCTTTACATCTTCAACATATTGAGCTATTTTAGCTATACTGTTTCTAATCTCCTCAACCTAGGAGAGATACAAAGAGTCAACACAGTGTGGAAATTCAAATTTGCTACCAGTTTTTATTACCTAAAAAGGGAAAGATAAAGGAGGTAAATAAATGAATAATTACCACACAAAGAAATAAAAACCTTTCCCATTTTCACATTGATATCATTTAATTTTAAAAATAAAATGTACCGTATTAATATTTCTACCTTTATGACTAAAACAGTATCATCAACATTCTCCAGAAAAACCTATTAGGTTGTAAGAATTTCTACAATCAAGTCCCAAGTATTACCACAGATGGTGCCAACTAGAACCATACTACTATTAATACCAGTACTCACTAAAATCAAGAGGGAAACTTACCCCACAGAATATGCTGACAGTAATATTCTTACATGAAGCAAAGTCTACACCTCATGCTACACCTCATGCAGCCAAGCCTTCATATTTGTTATCTTTGATCTCTAAATGGCCTAAATCATTCAATATTTGTTTCAAAATATAACGTACTCATTAGCAAGATTTATCCAGATGGATTCATGACATTATCTTCAAAAATGTCTGTGGTAGGCTGAATAATGGCCCCATATTAGTCAGGGTTCTCCAGAGAGACAGAACCAACAGGATGTTATAAATGTATGAGAGGGGATTTATTAAGGGAATTAGCTCACGCAATTGTGAAGAGAAGTCCCATGATAGGCTGTCTGCAAACTGGATGCCGGTAGCATGGCAGGCCTCAGAACCAGGGAAGCCAGTGGTGCCGCTGGTGTAAATCCTAGAACCCAAAAGCCTCGAGCTCTGATGTCCACGGACAAGAGAGCAGAGTGTATCCCAGATCCAGCAGATAGAGAGAGCAATTCACCATTTTCTCTGTTTTTCTTCTCTCTGGGCCCCCAGTGGGTTGGATGGTTCCCTCCCATACTGAGGGCAGATTTTTCTCACCCAGTCCACTCAGGCTCTCATGGCAATTTCTTATGGGAACACCCTTATGGACACACCTAAAAAGCTTTACCAGGTTTCTTGGTATTCCTTAATCTAATCAAGTTGACACCTAGAATTAACCTTCACAAGCCCACCCCTTGTCAATTGGTATCCATACTATCTCCTTAAATCATACTTAATCTTCAAAAGGGACAGTAACATAATAGTTTCTCCTAACATGATGCAACTATCCTGAGTACAACTAAAAATGTGTTAATCTCTTTCCCAGAAGAAGAGGTAAAGTCCTTAGACAATATTTACTCTTCACCTGATATTCCATGACTTAAATGCAAATACTATGGTGTAAAGTTAACAATATTTAAATGCTGATATAAAGTCAGCAAGTCTCATGGTACATGATAAAGAACAAGAGGAACAAAAACAAAGATAATTGCTTAACATATGTACAGTATATATACGTATAGACAAATTCTTAACATAATAGGGAAGACGATTACAATCCTCATTTCTGTCACTGGTCATGTGGTCGAAGCTGGTATTTATAACTACCTTCTTCTATGTTCCCTTTGCCTTCAGTGAGCCCCTCAGCTGGTTGTGGTTCTTTACCCATGAAATGACCCAAACCTTCATCCCTAAGAGTCTAGGCCATTCGTAGTCTTGCCTGGATTGGGTTGTTGTAATTTTCCATTGACTTTAATCACAGGGCATGGTGGTACTAAAGGGTCTCCTGTATTCCAGACATAATCTTCCTTACCTCCATTGTGGAGTAGTAGTCCAACTTCCCCTTGGTAGTCTGGTTCAATCACCCCAGCCAACATCATAACTCCTTTCTTAGCCTATTGACTCAGAGGCATGAGGAGCCCAAGTGGCCAGGTGGCAGCCTTAACTTCCAGTTCAACAGGATCACTGCTGTGTGTGTTTCCTGGTGGAACCATTCCTCCCTCTGGAATCAAGACCTCCAGACCAGCAGAGCATAAAGTTGCAGGGACAGAAAGCAAAATTTTTCCAGTGGGTCACTAGGGGTAATGGTGAGTGGTGCTACTCCCATTTCTACCCCTTAATTCCTGGACCTACAAATCCTGGCTATGGGAGAAACAGTGCCATATACTGGGTGCTGATTTAGAGCATATACCTTGCCCCAGCCCTGCAGGGTACTGTCACCTAGCAGGCACTGTAACTGTGACTTCAAAAGGCCATTCCACTGTTCTATAGACCAGCTGCTTCAGGATGATGGGGAACATGGCAAGATCAATGAATTCCGTGCACCTGAGCCCAATGCTGCACTCCTTTGGCTGTGAAGTGAGTTCCTTGATCATAAGCAATGCTGTGTGGAATACCATGATGGTGAATAACGCATTCTGTGAGTCCAAGGACGGCAGTTTTGGCAGAAGCATTTTGTGCCAGAAAGGGTACCAGAATCTGTATTAGTCAGGGTTTTCCAGAGAGACAGAACCAATAGGGTACATTTATAAATATCTGAGAGGGGATTTATTAGGGGAATTTGGCTCACATGATTGTGAAGGCTGAGTAGCCCCACGACAGGCCATCTGCAAACTGGATGCCAGTAGCGTGGCTCAGTCCAAGTCCAAAAGCCTGAGAACTAGGGAAGTTGGTGGTGCAGTTAGTGTAAGTCTCGGAACCCAAAGTTGAAGTCTCAAGCTCCAACGTCCACAAACAGGAGAGCAGAGCGTATCCAAGTTCCAGAAGAGAGAGATCGATCTTTGGCTTTTTCCTGTTTTTGTTCTCTCCAAGCACCCAGTGAATTGGATGGTTCCTGCCCATATTGGGGGCAGATTTTTCCCACCTAGTTCATTCAGGCTCTAATGCCAATCTCTTCTGGAAACACCCTAACAGACACAACTAAAAAGACAGCTTTACCAGGTTTTTCTTTTTTGTCTTTTTCCGTGTCCGGCAACGGATCGCAACCCTCAGTGTTGCCCCCGTACCGGACCGGGACTGGCAACGGGATCGCAACCCTCTGTGCTGTGGCAGCACCTCGCTCAGCCAGTGAGCGGGAACCGGTCTGTATGTGGGATCCAAACCCTCGGCGGGAGCGCCGCCGCACTCCCAAGCGGCGCACTGTAGCAGTGCGCCACCGGGCCGGCCCTTTACCAGGTTTCTTGATAATCCTTAATCTAATCAAGTTGACACCTAGAATTAACCATCAGAGCCCCCAAAGATGTTTGGGTCCTAATCCCTGAAAACTATGAATGTTACCTTATTTGGCAAAAGATATTTTGCAGATGTGACGAACTAACAATCCTGAGATGGGGAGATTATCCTGGATTAGCCGGGTGAGCCCTCAGGATAATCACAAGTGTTCTTAGAAGAGAGTAGATGGAGATCTGGCTACAGAAGGCACAACATGACCACTTAAGTGACAGGCTATGCGGCCAGCTCCTCCCTCTTTCTTCATTTTAAAATAGTAATCACTAATCCATTGCACATTGTGGTACATGTCCACACCTAATCTTGGAGCCTGTAAATATGTAACCTCACATGGCAAAAGGGGTTTTGCATGTGTGATTAAGCTAAAAGTCTTGAGATGGGAATTATCCTGGATTATCTGGGTTGGTCCAATGTAAACACAAGAATCTTTATAAAAAAGAGGCAAGAGGATCATGTCAGCAAAAGGAGATGTGATCATAAAAACAGAGGTTGGAGTGATGTGCTTTGAAGATGAAGGGCCATAAGCCAGAATACAGATGGCTTCCAGAAGTTGGCAAAGGCAGGAACGCACCCCCTGCAGCCTCAGGAGGAACTGCCCTATCGACACCTTGATTTTAGCCCTATAAGGCTCATTTCAGGCTTCCAGTCTCTGGAACTGTAAGATAATCAATTTGTGTTGTTTTAAGGCCGAGGTTGTGGCAATTTGTTACAAGAGCAATAGGAAAACTAACATACATGGAAACATAAATAACATCTTTTTATGGAAAAAAAAGTTTTCCAAAAAAAACAGTGAAAATACGAGCAGTGCTCTGTTTTTTTGTTTTTTTTTGTAAATCTGGTTTCCAGCAAAATAGAAAGCAGCTTGGTTCTCCCCTAACCTCCTGTGTTCGACGTGCAGCCTCTGGAAAACCCTATCACTGCACAGTCACCAGAGGATTACAGTGAAAGAAGCAAAAACATCTCAGCATTATCATGAAAACAGTTCTGACAATGTGAACCAAGCCCCAGACCACATTTGGAAAATGGAAGCATTAAAGGACTAACACAGAATTCTGCTTTTATAAGAACAGTGAACAGCTATACCATTGGGCCTGGGTGTTATTTCCATTTACACACAAGTTCTGTCGAACTTCATATATTTCACATTCTTATAATTTAATTTTATTAATCATGTAAAAACAACACATATAATAAAAGCTAATTTTTTTTAAACTTCTATTTCATCATGAGAGCTTATATGCAAGAAATGGCATTTGGTTTTAGTTCACAGATCTATATTTCAATTTGCCATCA